GCCGGCCTGCTTTAAGAGGGGTGGACTTCCACTCCCAGAATTCCCCAGCCGGCCTGCTTTAAGAGGGGTGGGCTTCCACTCCCAGAATTCCCCAGCCAGCCTGCTTTAAGAGGGGTGGACTTCAACTCCCAGAATCCCCCAGCTAGTCATGTGGACTACATAAAACACGACGTTTCTCAGCCCTTCTTCTCTTCCCAGGGTCCATGTTTTCACAAGCAATGAAGAAATGGGTGCAAGGAAATACAGATGAGGTAAGGCGTTCTCTACTTACGGAAAAAATATGACCCATCTCTTTGGCGAATTAGAGAGACCCTCCTCTGTGTCTGGGTGTGCAGACAAATTGTTCGTTCTAGGTCTCCTGCTTAAGCAGGGGGTTGGACTAGAGCAGGGCTTTTCAACCGGTGGCAGGCCTACCACTGGTGGTACGTTGGCACCTGGCAGGTGGTTCGTGTATGACGGTTGAAAAAGCACTGGGGGAAAAAGTGTTAACAAAAGCGTAAGGGGGGAGAAGAGAGGATATAAAAGGAGGGGAGAGAAAGGATATAAACGAAGGGGTGTAGAGGAGGATATAAAAGGGGAGAGAGAGGATATACAAGAAGGGGAAGATATAAAAGGAGGGGAGAGGATATAAAAGAAAAAGGATATAAAAAGGTGGAGAGGAGGATATAAAAGCAGGGGAGAGAAGAGACGATATAAAAGGAGGGGAGAGAAAGGATATAAAAGAAGGAAGAGAAGAGAAGATATAAAAGAAGGGGAGAAAGGATATAAAAGAAGGAGGGGAGAGGATATAAAAGGGGAGAAGAAGGATATAAACGAAGGGGTGGAGAGGAGGATATAAAAGAAGGGGAGAGAAAGGATGTAAAAGAAGGGGGTAAGAAGAGAAGATATAAAAGGAGGAGGGGTGAGAAATTTGTTAAATATGTTTTGCCCCAATTGATGACTTTTCTTGCCACAACTGCAGTTGTTAAATTAGACAACACAGTTGTTAAGTGAGCCTGGCTTCCCCATTGACTTTGCTGGTCAGAAGACCGCAAAAGGGGATCACATGACCCCGGGACGCTGCGACCGTCATAAATACGAGTCAGCTGCCAAGCATCCGAATGTAAATCACATGACCCTGGGGATGATGCAGCGGTCATAAGTGTGAAAAATGGTCACAAGTCACTTTTTTTTTCAGTGCCGTTGTAACTTCAGACAGTCACTAAGCGAACTGTTGTAAGTTGAGGACTACCTGTACTTTTTTTTGGTCATCAAATTTTTGACACCTTGCTAGGCGGCTGGTAGTACTCGGATATTGCCATATCCTAAAAGTGGTACAATGGGTGAAAAGGTTGAAAAGCCCTGGACTAGAAGACCTCAAGGGTTCCCTTCCAGCACTATTCTGATTGAGAATTCAGATCAGAAACCAAGTACAGTAGTGGCCAAAATTGTGGAAACCTTTTGGGAAAAGTGTATTTTTGAGGTTGGATGGCTAATAACACCACTTTTTTTGGGAGTAGTACCATAGAATTATATATCAATGGAAAGATAATTTAATCAAGAATGTCATGCAACAAAGTCTGTTCAATTATCTGTACTGTATTCTATGAAAAGTTACAGCCAAATAACCAGGAAAAGGAAGCACACCTTGGTTAGGTTGATCTCAGGTAGTTTTCCAGTTTTCTGATTGTAGCCAATGAGCACGAGTGTTTAGAGCCAATCAGGTGTCCTCTTGTTTTGGCCATGAGCCAATCAGATCACAATAGGATCTGGTGATTGATGTCCTGTATTGAAGCCGAGAGGAGGACATTTGTCAGTGTGTTATGTGATGGCTATCAAGTTGGTTGGGTTTTTTTGTGTTCTTTCATTGAGTGAGCTTGCAAAACATAATAAAATTAAAGTCATGGTGCAAAGAGCTGACCGGTTGCCCAGAAAGCGATGTAAAATAGTATTATTAAGTGAACAAGGCTACAGTTATAAAGAAATTGGAAGGAAAATGGGTGGAAACTTAACCAAAGGTGGCATTTCTACTGTACACTTTTCCCAAAAGTTTTCCACAATTTGGGCCACTACTGTACAACCAGAAAAATTCCTCCCCAGAATATAAAAAAAATGGCTGCAGGGGGAGTTTCTCTGAATACTTGGGAAGTTAACTCTCTCATCAGGTAGATTCGTTCCTCAAGTGAGGATTTCACAACCTTTTTTGCCACTGTCATTATAGGAATCATGTGGTCGTTAAGTGAACCCAGCTCTCCCCGTTGACTTATCGGAGGCGAGCTTGGAAGGTCACAAATTGTGATCACGTGACCTTGAAACACTGCAGCCATCATAAATACAGGCCAGTTGTCCCGCTCTCCAAACGTTGATGACGTGATCCCACAGATGCGACGGTCGTTAAGTGCGAGGACTGGTCGTAAGCGACCTTTTTTCAGCACCTTGGTCACTTTGAGCAGACATTAAACAAACACAATTAGTCCTTGACTTAGAATTGTTCGTTCAAAGTTTTAGGGGCACTTTAAAA